AAATATTTTTAGACTGTAATGGTATGGCTTCACAGTATCTTGTGTTTTGACCGACAAATATTAGCCAGTATGGTGGTCCATCTTCTCTATACCTCGGAATGTTTTCCAAGATATCCATAAACCAAGCATTTGGTGTTGAACTAAAGATTTTTACCATGAGTGCTTTCTTTGTCGCTTTAGAAACATAGGGGTCCTTGTTTGGATTCGTCATTTTTTAACCCATAAGAAATGGGTTTATTTGGCGCATTAGCAGGAGTTGCATCCAGATTTTTACCCGCAGTGGGAACAATAGCCAGAGGTGTATTTGGAGTTGGAAGGAAGATTTTGAGTACATTAGGTATACTTAAAGAGAAAGCACAACCTATTATACAAACTGTACAGAAAGGTTGGGATGTAGCACGAGATGCAACAAATCTTATTCCAAATCCTGAAACAAGAGGAAAAGTTCAAGGATGGATGGACAATGTAGGAAGACAAGCAGGAAACTATTATAACAAAGCAAATGACTACTATAACCAAGCAGGACACTATATGGACCAAGGTGAAAGATTCTTTAACAGAGGATATAACCATGCACAACAATGGGTAAACAATAACCAACCTCAACCGCCTCAAACTTGGAGAATGTAAAGTTTTTTACTGAGATGAAATGAACAATACAGCATTGAGACAAATGGGTTCAAGATGGATTTGTCGACTTCCAGCAGTTACACAACCACGTGTTTGTCAAGTTCTTCCTATACCTCAGGAAGTTTTAGACCGACTTAAAAAACAACAACAACCAGTTGAAAACAAACCAAACTAAATTTTTTACTGAGATGAAATGACCGAAGAAGTTGAAACGGTAGATTTGACACCACAAACAAAAAGTTCAGAACCATTGTCAAAACCTGTCAAAGAACTTACAGATGAAGAGAAAAATTCAATAATAGAAAGTGCCAGGTCTGGAAATACAAACCCTAACTATAAAGTCACTTTTCATAGAAATGGAACGGCTAGTATCTCAAAAAAGAAACAGACTCTCACAAATAAAATATTGAAGTCTGAAGGAGCTTTCGAGACAACAGATGGAAAAGTTTACTTCACTGACCAACAGTTCATTATAGAACATCTCATTGACTTAGAGTCGAAATATTCTAAACTTTACAACAAACACAAAAAGTTGAAAGGAAAACAAAAACAAATGGCATATGATATTTATGAAGATGTTGACGACACAACTGTTCCTGCAGGTGAAGTAAAGTCAGGTGAACCGAAAAGTGACGAAAAACCGATAGAAGAAGAAAAACCAAAAACTGAAGATAAACCAAAACCAAAGTTTAGTTTCAATACTAAAACAAGTCAACCTTCATTAGCTGGTATGGGTTGGCGTCAAAGACTTTTGGCAGCAGGTGGTTACGTAAAGTAAAGAAAAAAATATATTTTTATTTTTATTTGAAATGTACGCTGAGTTTTGTTGGAGAAGACCGTTGGGAAACTTGTTTGTTAGATGAGAAATATGAAATGGCATACCATTTTAAAACAATATATTTTTAAAAAAATATTTTTTTATTTTATTTGAAATGTACGCTGAGTTTGTTGGAGAAGACCGTTGGGAAACTTGTTTGTTAGATGAGAAATATGAAATTCACTGTTGTGAGTCATTTGAAGTCAGAAACAAAAAGACAAAAAGAGTTTTAAGCGAATGTGAGCGAAATGACGGATATGCTAGGATGAGGATTGGTGGAAAACACTATTTTAAACATATTGTCATTGCAACTCATTTTATACCGAACCCTAACAATCTACCTTTTGTAGACCATATAAACCATATAAGAAACGACAATAGACTTGAAAACTTACGTTGGGTCACTCGTTCTGAAAACAATAAGAACAAAGGCAAATTTCGAGATATTGTATTCGAATTTGTCGACGAACTAGAAGATGAAACAATTGAAATTACAGACTATGGCAAGCATACTTTTGAGTTTTACTACTATAGCGAAGAACAAGACTCTTTCTACTTTTATACCGGCGTAAACTATAGGAAATTACAAGTATATTTTACTAAGGAAGGCTATGCTTATGTAAACACTAGAGATACAGATGGAAAACACGTTCAAATACTTCTTAACAAATTCAAGAAGCTATATGGCATACCATTTTAAAACGTTTTTAAAACAGTATATATTTTTACATATATTAAATGCTTCAGGTTGAAAAACAAAGAACAAAAGTAGCAGATACAAAACCGTTAGACTATATCTTTACAAATACTGGTAGGACAATTTCAGATGAAGAAATTTCATCCGGTGCTTACAGATTTGACAGTTTATAGAAACGTGTTTGACCCTCAAAATGTTATGTGTCATGCAAGTTTCAGTTCAAGCAACAGTAGTTTTCTATGTATCGGTAAGGACTTTTATGACTTTGCTTCTAAATTCTACGAACCACCTAGTAACAGTTTCTCTGACTTTCAAGTTTGGTTCACAACAAATGGTGTGCAGCATATAATACCATTGTACTATGACTTTTATCTCGAATTGTCTTTCATATACAACTACGGAAAAGTGCTGAAAAAGTATTGAAAAATATATTTTAGGGTAGAAGGGTATATCTAACCCGTTTTCTAACATCGTAGAAAACTCATGAAAACAATTTATTTTTGTGAATATGCAAGCGGCTCATAGCTCAGTGGTATGGGCTACCTCGTTAAAGGCGTCGAAGACCTCGGTTCAAATCCCGATTCGCGCAGGTTTTTTCCTTTTATGCAGTGAAATTTCATGTACATAGGTTACTTTGGTGTTAGACCCTAGTGAAGAAAATAGAACGATATAAGTTTACATTTGTAAGGTTACTTTGGTGTTAGACCCTAGTGAAGAAAATAGAACGATATAAGTTTACATTTGTAAAGTTGGACGATAAAAATCTCTGCTACTGTCAGTAAAAGTACTGCTACTGTCAGTAAAAGTACTGCTACTGTCAGTAAAAGTACTGCTACTGTCAGTAAAAGTACTGCTACTGTCAGTAAAAGTACTGCTACTGTCAGTAAAAGTACTGCTACCGTCAGTAAAAAGGAAAATTTGAGAGGGTTTTCGACGATAAAGTACTGCTACTGTCAGTAAAAGTACTGCTACTGTCAGTAAAAGTACTGCTACTGTCAGTAAAAGTACTGCTACTGTCAGTAAAAGTACTGCTACTGTCAGTAAAAGTACTGCTACTGTCAGTAAAAGTACTGCTACTGTCAGTAGCAGTACTGCTAGGAGCAGAGATTTTTATCGTTTGTGGTCCGACGGTTAAGCCACAAACGAATGTCCGACGTCCCACCAAAAAATATTTTTTATTTTTATTGTAAGAACAGAAATGTCAGTCGAAGCAAAAACGTTCACGAACAAATCTAATGGCGAAACATTCACAAAAGGCACTTACAACGGTATTGAAGTCTTACGTAGAGACATGGATGGTTATATTAACGCAACAAATATGTGTCAGCAGTTTAGGAAAGACTTTAGAAGGTTGTTGGAAAATAAGTCCTGGGAAGAGTATTTTAAGGCATTTTGTGAAGAATATACCAACCCGCGGAAAACAGCGGGTTGCTTTTTATACAAAATTCATGCAGGAATTCCTGATGAAATCAAACAGGTTAGAGGAATGTATGTAGACCCAAGACTTGTAAACTATATAGCAATGTGGGCTTCTCCAAAATATTGTATAGCAGTTGGAAAAATTCTGGACTCCATAGACAAGAAAGTTCATGAGAAATTAGATGAAGAAGAACTTGAAGATACAGTAGAGAATGCAAAACCTTTGTTCGAAGAAGAAGTTAGAAAAATGCATGAAAAACAAATAGAACATGAACGTGAGATATGTTCTGGTTATAGAGACTCGCCATACGAACTAGACCAATGGGAACAAGAAGATTTAAAGAGAGAATTTAGAGAATATGAACTCGCTAAGATAGCATTAGAAGCTGCAGAAAAGAAGTTAAAAGTTTGGGGTCGTTTTGTACAAAAATATTGTGAGTAAATGAACCATTTTTTTCGACAAAAATATAATTTAGGGTAGAAGGTTAGATCTAACCTCTTTTCTAACCTCTTTTCTACCCTCTTGAATTTTCATGAATTTTGGTCATTTTTCAGTAAAAATAATGTTTAGGGTAGAAGGTTAGATCTAACCTCTTTTCTAACCTCTTTTCTAACCTCTTGAATTTTCATGAATTTTCATGAATTTCATCGTAAATGTTTTGTCGAAACTTCTTCATCGTAATGAGCGTAAATGACCAAAAAATATAATTTAGGGTAGAAGGTTAGATCTAACCTCATTTCTAACCTCATTTCTACCCTCGTGAATTTTCATGAATTTTCCTTAAGATAAAAAATATATTTTAGTTTTTTATAAAATATTTTTTTTATTTTTATTGTAAGAACATGTTAGCAACAACTTCACCAAACTCGTTAGTCATGAACCCAACTTCAATGTTGGTAGAAATGAAAAGCTTCATTCCTTCTTCATATACTTTCGAAACAGAAATCCAGAAGATAAAGCAAGAACTTCTCCAAGGAGATCTAAACTGTAGTGCGAAAGATGAAACAAATGGACAGTATCTTTATGAAATGCAGGATATTATTGACCATCTACCTAAACTTCCTGAAATCCAACAACAAAAGCTCACTATTCCTGAATTCGACGAAATTGAAGTCAGACCAACCGACTCAGTAGAAATAAAGAAGTTCATACGAAAGGTAAACTATGAGTTTCTAGGATTTCATTGCAACCATAAAGTTATGGACAAAGATTGCGATATGGTATATAAGAACATCTCTGATATATATAAATCTGGGGAGTTTAAGACCTACGACAACTTTGTTTCGTTAGTTGCTGAATGTGTATGGCAGATAAGAGATAAAGATAGAAGAGGTAAAATATGGAACGAACAAATAAAACCAGCAACTTTTGAGTTAAAGAAAACCATTGACGCCTTAGTTGTTTTAGCAGGTAAGGTTTCAGAATATAACGCAAAAATGAACCCGCAATGTTCTAAATGTAAAGCAGCAATGAGGAGATATAACTACTCCGTCAAAGAGATAGAAAGAATGAGAAACGACTATGCAGACTTAAAGATAGAAGCAGAAAAGCCAGCAGAAGATAAAATGGACATGTTAGCATTTCTGAACAAAAACTATCCAACTGCTGACGATTTTCTTCTTTCAGATGTCAAGAAGAAGTATAAAGAAACCTTCGGCATTGTTAAAACATTCGATGTACTAAAAGAAGAAATAGAAGCTACAAAACTGTTTAGAGTCTCACGAATTCATAACGTTTACCATGTAAAACGCTTATAAAATAACTGGGGTAGAAAAGAGGTTAGAAAACAGGTTAGATCTAACCTTCTACCCTAAAATATATTTTTGCCGAGTAAAATGACCAAATTTCATTATATAACTGTTATTTTTGACGAAGAGAACTTTAACACTTCGTCAAAAAAATCCCTGAAATCATATCTTTTATACAAAATTCATGAGGGTAGAAAAGAGGTTAGAAAAGAGGTTAGATCTAACCTTCTACCCTAAAATATATTTTTGTCTGATTTACGCTCATGTTTGACAAAACATATACGAAGAAGTTTATTTCCTGTGTTGTTGTCAAAATGTCATGTTGTCACCATTTTCAAAAAGATGTTAGTTGACCGAGGGACCGAGGGACCTGGTGACACCTAAAAACCATCTACCCTAAAATATATTTTTGTCTGATTTACGCTCATGTTTGACAAAACATATACGAAGAAGTTTATTTCCTGTGTTGTTGTCAAAATGTCATGTTGTCACCATTTTCAAAAAGATGTTAGTTGACCGAGGGACCGAGGGACCTGGTGACACCTAAAAACCATCTACCCTAAAATATATTTTTGCCGAAAAAAATGACCAAATTTCATGAATTTCCTCATATGTTTGCTACCCTCGGAAAACCGAGGATAGAGATTCCATACGAAAATCGTGAAAAAATGACCAAATTTCATTATATAACTGTTATTTTTTACGAAGAGAACTTTTGCACTTCGTAAAAAAATCCCTGAAATCATGAATTTCCTTAAGATAGAAAAAATAAAGTTAGTTTTATTTTTTTTATTTTTTTTATTTTGTATGTAAGAACAGTAAATGTTAAACATTGAGTTTGAAACAGTTAAAAAGATAGACAATGACACCAAAATGGTTAGAATAGGTGATTTAAACGTAAGATACTCAAAGAAATACAAGAAATATTCTTTGTCAGACATTATATCTCCATCTGGAAAGAAAACATCCCACGACTGGGTTAGAATTGCTTCTACTCAGAAAATTTTGACAAGAAATCCTGAGCTTATGATATCGGTAAGATTCTATGGAACTACAGCATATCTTATAGACAAAAGTCTTATACCAATAGTTTTGTTATGGTTAGACCCAGTTGTAGTTAGTATACAAGTCTTGGGTATGGTGGCACTGCGTTCTCACTTTACCCAATACTTGTTGAATTTGACACTTTACAAAACCGTTAACGTATATTTTACAACACAAACGACAACACTAACTTAACCTTAAATATTTACAAAGCCGCCAACCACTTCACTAACGAACTCACTAATGTAAAAAATAAACGTTCTCACTATCGTTCTCACTAACGACTTCACTAATGTTCTCATAAATTTTCCTCAATATCTTCATCATCAGTGTTAACCCTATTGTAGTCATACTTGAAGCCATAAACTTTCTCTAACTTCTTAACGTACAATTTACATAACTTACCTTCGTCATCGTATGGTTTAATGATATAACTATTTCTATCTTTATACACAGTCAATGAAAAGTCAACTGGTCTCGGATGTATTTGAAAGAACATGTTATGCTCAGGAAGGAAGAATAAATGTTTAAATGTATGTTTGTTATATGTGATTTGATGAGTTGCTTTTGTTCTGTCATTACATCCAAATAAAATAGTAAACTTAAAAAATAAATAAAAAATTAATGATATCACCACCCGCACACGTATGAAAACATAGCACAAAAATAATTTAGGGTAGAAGTTAGATCTAACCCGATTCTAACCTCTTTTCTAACCTGTTGAATTCATTGCTTTATAACTCTCTTCCTTGGTTTCTTTTTAGTTGCTTTCTTCACGTCTGTCTCCAACTTGACTGTCTTTCTTCTTCGTCCGTAATGATACCAGTTACTTCCACCAGTCAATGGGTCAAATGGTCTTTCGTAAGGATTTCCATACATTCCATAGGGACCATACGGAAGAACTACTGGTGGAGAAGAAACATTTTCTTTAGTTCCATCGAATCTATTTAAATGCATTGTTTCACCTTTCATCTGGTCATTAAAGTCTTTTGCGTGTTTTGCAAACTCATCGTCCTTTCCTAAAGCATTTTCTGACTCAGTCGCAACCAAATTGGATGCTTTATTTATGAGCCCTATTTTATTTAATCTTAACTTCTTTGCAACCCAGCCTCCAATCTTCCCTTTATTTGCATCTAATGTCTTCGAAACCCTTCCTCCACTCATTTTATTTACTGCGTCATAAGCCCCAAGTGCTTTTGCTCCAAATGCTAATGCTTTTGTTCCCATTGCGCCTAAAGCTGTCCAAGCTACCATTTACACCATATTAAAATCATCTCTCTTCAATATTATCTCATAAAAGTTCTCGTTACTGGAGAAAGTCAATGAAACATAAACATTCTCATTCATAAACTTCTTTCTTATCTCATCTATACGCTTCAAAATGTCTGAACAATTGCTAACATCTTCTACAACAGTTATTTCATCATGAATGACCTTCAAGAACAAGCTCATTTAATATGCTATTAAAATCATCTCAATAATGAGTCCATCCTTTCCATCTTTAGGTAGCACAACATCTTTCATTGAAGAAGGTTCGACAAGTCTTATGTTAAACTTACTGACAAAGTTTGTTATACTATAATGCTTCGGTGGCGAATACATGTAGTTTGAAAGACATAATATAGATTCTTCAGCAAATTCACTTATACTGGATTTTATAACAATGTTCTCACGAGACCAAATACCACCAATTGACAATCTTGTAAGCAATCCTGCTGAACCTTCTACTGTAAACGTCGATGGTAACATTCCACGAAGGTCATCTATTGACATCTTTGAGTCACTGAATTTAAATATTTTCTTAAAGCAATCGTCATTATCTAACCATGCAATAGCTTTGAAGTTTTCATTCGAATATACATCTGCTTCATTAAATGTAAAACCTGACTTCTTTGCAGAGACGACTTTAAAATCTATTGCATTTGTTTCAAAATTATATACTATGGTAACTTCTGAAGGTAATGGATGTCCTTCCGCAGTCAGTTGTTCTCTCACTACCGTTTGAAGCTTTGTGTTAAAAACTTTCATGTCATCTCCTGTGTCTAGGTTCACATACACAGCAACAGGAAAACTATCTTGCTTCTTTGTTTCATCATTATACCTCAAAACATTAAAGTTCTTCAATAATATTGTTCTTCCTGCTGGAATACTTCTAACTTGTCTTATTTCAATAGCTTTCTCACCTCCTACATACTCTACCCAGTGTCTTGGATATTCATAAGTATACTGACTTTCTTGAATTTTGGTAGGTTTCATCATAACGTGTTCATAGTATATCTTTATACTCTTGTCAGTTAGACTCGGTGCTATGTTCTGAATATTTCTGACTTGCATTTTTAATGAAGATAAAATGAAGCATTTAATACATGACGTAGATGAAGACATGAATGAAAGCAGTGAAAAGCTCAACAGTTCTCTCATTCTTCCTTTCAGTAAGGACTATGAGTTCTGTTCAAATGGTGTGTATTTCTATTGTGGAAAGATGGGTTCAGGTAAGACATTTAACCTCATTCGTCATATACTCATAACAGAGCGTTTAGGAAACGACTCTTACTATGACCAAATCATTATATCAGCAACTTCAGACTCTATGGATTCAACAGCGAAAACATTTATGTCAAAAGTTCAAGCCTCTGTCGTTAAAGTTCCAGATAGCGAACTCATTGAATTTCTTCAACGTTACATTCGACGTAAGAGAAAATATTATGCTATTGTAGAGTTCATACAGTCAGGAATGCAAAAGACTTCAGAAGAGATGGAAAGAATTATTGACAAACACCACTTACGTCAATACTCAGGAGTTTACGATATGAAACGACTGACAAACTACATTCTATCAAAACTTTCAAAATACCCCTTCAAAAAGTATCCTTCAAACACTCTGCTCGTTTGTGACGACTTCGCCGGAAAAGGTTTAGTGTCAAAAGCAGACTCACCATTAGCTAACATCATAACTAAAGTCAGACATTACCACTTAACTGTAGCAATACTTATGCAAACATGGCGTTTCCTTGCTTTAAACATAAAACGTCTCATAACTGACTTCGTTATCTTTCAAGGTTTCTCACGCTATGACATTGAACTCATTTGGAAACAGTCAGGTATAACATTACCTTTTGAAGAAATTTGGGAAGCATATAAGTCTCTCATCTCTCCTCGTTCATACCTTGAGATTCATATCATGACTAATACCATTAAAGTCAAAAACATTCCATGGGAACGACCAACATTGTTTTAAAGTTTAACCTTCAATTGACTGATGGTAAACAAATTCCATGCATCTCTGTCGCCATTTCTGTTAATATTTTTGCTGTCATTCATATCATCCACTTCCCCATCCGTTAGCTTTTGAGGATATGTGTTAGAATAGCTGTTCTTAAATGAAGGCTTTTCACCTTTGAGAGCATAAACTCTATAACTTTCTGCATACTTTATGTTTGAACCTCCTGAGCCATCATTGACATAAATTTTTATAGGCTTCCACCCTTTGTTCATATTCCTGCTTCTTCCCTTAGCTCTTTTGTTCAGTAGTTCTACATCTTTATACACAGCTCCTGTCTCAGTGAATTCAACAATATTTTCATTCGTTAGCTTTACATTCAAACCCTTGTCGAGTATATTGTTCATTTCATACATATAAAAGGTTTTTATTCTATATGAAATGAGAAGCAAATCCATCTTAGCTGGTGCCGTTAATGTTCCAATTGAACCAACATCAAATGTTGACTCACGAACGACAAACAATATTGTCATAAAGAACTATAGTTCAGAGTGTTTGAAAGAAAAAGAACCAGAACTTAAGTCGGGAGGGCTCAAAGAGCCCATCTTGGCGCATGGCGCCGTGAATTTAAACTCAGCTTCAAACGCTAACGCTACATCAGATGTTAAGTTAGAGTATCCACCACTGGACCAAATTCTTTCAAGAGAAGCCAACGACAACCCTTACACAAATGTTCAAACAAATCCTTCAGATAACGTAGACCATTACCTTCTTCAGTTATACCAAACAATTTTACTCAAAGACGATAAGAAGCTTTTGACAAATCTTATAAGCAAGAACCAAATAATTCTAACAAAGGAGGACCTTGAAAATGTTATCTCACGAATAACAGGGAAACAATGTGTCATTGACTATCTCGACCCTGAAATCGAATGCTGTGGTCAAACTCCACTATTCATGAAAATAGGTAACATCCGCATCATTGAAACACCAGGAACTACAGGAGTTGAGTTTAAGTATAAATATTCGAACGAGTATACAAAACTATCTACTTACTATAAGCTTTGCTTGAAATATGTTTTAGTAAATTAAAGCAGTCAGGAGGGCTCTTTGAGCCCATCTTGGCGCTTTGCGCCGTCAGTCAAAAAAATTCAAGTTAGCAATTTGTAATATCTGTCCAAAACTTCTTCAACAGTATCGAACTCATCTTCATAATGCAAACCTAATCTTATTGACTTGGTGCAGTTTTCACTAACACAATATAGCGCTTTGCGCTCGGCGCCTTTGACGCCTTTTTCTGTTCTCTTGACTGGCATAACTAACTCATTTGTTTCATCAAACAGCAACAACCAAAGTTCATGACCTAATACATAACATTCATACTTTATATTTTTAGCTCTGAGTTCTCTTGTAAGCTGTTGCATTTAATATTTTCTAAAAAGTCAACTTCAACAGTCATTCGCACTGGTGCCTTCAGTTCTACAGGCTCTCCTTGAAAGTCAACAAGTCTGAATTGCATGTCTTTCAAATTATGAGGACTAATGCGAACCCATTTACCTAAATGAGTTGCTATGACAGGAACGTTTGGAATGAACATTGAATTGACTGCATAACAGAAGGATTTATATTCTACTGAACCTTTACTATTAACTCCTGAAATACCTGTGACATTAGCTATTTTTGACTCAACGTACAAACAATTACCATAACATACGTATGGAACAGATTTCATCTCAATCGTTTTGTCAACACTTTTCAAAGGAAATGTCATATGGTATGCTCCCAGAAGAAGTTGTACTCTATGACTCATTCTTGGTATCTTGAACTCTTTCTTGCTACTGAACTTCAATGTTCCCTCAGAAGAGAGTTCGACATCTATGTTGTCAATAGTTTCTTCATTTATGAGAGTATCTATGACTCCAGCAATTTTATCTATTCTGTACTCGGCTCTGTTAGGAAATGTTACAACACTTCTTTTGTCATCTATTTCAAACTCCATGAAATCTGTTTCATCTGTTATGACAAAAGTTGCGATAGTATTGAAGTCAACAACTCTGAAAGCAAGCGCTTCATTCTGAAGACCTAAGTTTGTTTGTAGCTTTACTGTCCCGTATTCGTTTGGGTCTGTACTTTGCAAATAGAACAACATTTTATTCTCATTAAAATATGACTATTGCTGCATATGCGTATGAAACAAATGAAGCAAGAAGAGCACATGAACTAGTAAACGAAAACTCAACTTTAACCATTGAAGGCAATGATTTAGTCATTGACGATGGAAAAACTAAAAAAGTCATTGATTTCGATACTTTTAACACTTATGACCCATTCATTACAACAAGCAAGGTTCCCATCATAAATGATGGAACGGTGCAATATATAAATTCTACAGTAGATGCCTCATTAGTGAAAGTATTAAATGTTCTCATTGAATTGTTAAAGAGCTTTCGATTTGACGACAACATTAAATGCCTAAAGAATTTAGTCATGAATGAGAAACAAATTCTCGGCGTTGCTGGTAGCAGTAATGATGTACACCTTATGACATTAGAATATTATAACGAACATAAAGATGAACTGAAAGGAGAGAAGGGTGACACCGGACCTCAAGGACCACAAGGAATACAAGGAATACAAGGAATACAAGGAATACAAGGACCTCAAGGCGAAAACGGTTTGGATGGAAAGGATGGAAAGGATGGAAAAACTGCTAAATCATGGATATGGGACCTTATAAATACTGGTTTAACAGCTGCTTCATATGGAGTTCTTCAATACCAAATCGGAAAGATATGGGCGGTACTTGGTGAAGAAGTTTTAAATGACGTTAAAAATGCTTTGAACTTCATTTCAAATGGTTCGGATACTATTAAAACTTTATCTGGTTGGATGCAAGAAACAAGGAGTCAAATAGATACTGTAAGACGTATAGCAAACAATGCACGTACGGGATTGGATACTTTACGACAAGCACAAAATACACTAAAGGAAGCAAATGATATTCTTGGCTCAGTATCAGACATGCATGAAGATTGGCTTAAAGGTATTGACAAATCTTTAAAAAATCACAGTCAGTCTATTGCTGACTACAAGAAAAGTATAGATTTTTTACATAGTGCTATGGACGTACATGATGGAAGCATAAGGAACTTACTTAATGCTAACAATAACTTACCAGGAACTATTAAAGCATTTATAAAGTCCTTTGTAAAACCCGGTGCTCTAACATTTAGGTCTTTGAGAGCAAGAGCATTGAAGTCAAGAGATGCAGAAACTCCAACAGAACCTACAGAAGGAACTGAAACAACAGAAACTCCAAAAGAACCACCAAAACCAACAGCTAATGAAATATTGTTCGAATATTTTCCAAGGTACTCTGTTCTCATTGCATACATTCAAGAAATACTTAAGAAAGCAGACTTGACTTTAGGAGATGATGAAAGTTCTGTATATCTTTCGTTCCAGTTTCAAATAGCAGAACTTTTGAGACAGATATGCTTAATGTATGACAACATCTCTGATTTCACAAGATATGATGACGACCATGACCCCGAACATGGTGAAGAAGAAGTTTTACAAACATCCATTAAGACAGGAAAGGTTTTAACTCAAAGTCTCATTATTGACACCAAAGATGGCGAAGTGGACGTTCTTCAAGAGCTGAAGAAAAATACTTCTTCGGGAGGTGGTGGTAGGCATGAACTTGAAATAAATGAGATAGAAGAGAAATTAGCCGAAAAAGCAGATAAAGAACATAAACACAATATCTCCGATATAAATGAACTTCAAGCTACATTAAATAGTAAAGCGGACAAAAATGAACTTGACGCAATGAACAAAGTTTTGAAATCTCATAAACACAACATCTCCGATATAAATGAACTTCAAGCTACATTAAATAGTAAAGCGGACAAGAACCATGTTCATTATATAACTTCAGACGAACAGATTATAACGGACTACCATGGATATTTAACACGAAGTGATGAAGCGAAGACAAAAAATGTTAATGAAAGAAGATATAAATACATTCGTGCTAAAGGTTATGACATAAGCTGTACTGTACAGTATGATGTAGCTAAAGCACCAGAAGCATTTGGTTATACCGGTGAAATTTATGCCTCTACTTTCAATGTTAACGGTGTATTAGTTGAACCAATATTTATGTTAAGAGTTAAGGCAAAAATAACGTTTGAAGATGCTATTAAAAGTAAAGCTGACAAAGTTGAACTCGAAGCAACGAACAAAGTTTTGAAATCTCATAAACACAACATCTCCGATATAAATGAACTTCAAGCTACATTAGACAGTAAAGCTGACAAGAACCATACACATAAATCCTTCACTACTGTTAGAGCAGACGACATAATATTGAACTTTGACCTTGGTTCAAGTGCACCATTAGAAAATCCAAGTACAAGCGTAAAAGATACTCTTAACAGTTTAGATAAGAGTTGCAGGAACATTGAAAGTCATGCCAGAAACTTTGAAGCACATGAACTACCAACAATGTTAGATAAGAAAGCAGACAAAACTTATGTGGATGCAGAACTAACAAAGAAATTTTCGAAACCAGATACAATGACATTTACAACAGAAATTATAAATGGTGAACCAGCAACTCCATTTGAATTTGTTAGAGGTCTTCAACCAGATACTTTTGAATTTTTCTTGGATAATTCTATTGAACTAACATTACATTATAAAAGTGGAACAAATGCAACATTTCATCCGGGAGATACATTCCAAATGGTATTTAATGACATAAGTTCTTTAGAATATGTTTATAGAGTTATGAGCATATATGATTTAATATATCCTATAGGAGCTGTTTATACGTCTATGAATCCAATAAATCCAAACACTTTATTTGGTGGTAGATGGTATGAAATAGTTGACAGTTTTCCATTCTACACTAATACTCAGTCAATGAAGATGGGAGGTTCAAAGAAAATAGGTATTGAAAACCTTCCTTCACATATGCATAGGTTCAGTGGAAGAACATCTGTGGAAGGAAACCATTCACATTCAATAACAAAAAGAGGTTATACAAATCTTGCAGCGGGTTCGGATAGACAGGGAATGCATAGATATGATATCACAACTGACCCCAAAGATGTTAGCACAGGTATTTTCTGTGGAACTGCAGGAAATCATACACATGTTGTAGCTGGTATTACAGACCCAGCAGGTAATGGAAAAGATTATATGCCTCCTTATATAACAATGCACGCTTGGATACGAGTTGGTTAAAATCTTTAACTTTACATAAATGAGCTTGAAAGAAGTATTCGAACAACATCCATGGAGGTCATTTAAGAAATTCAATGAAGCTGCAAAGAGTTGGGGATTTACTAACAGAGCTGAAGTGAAAAGGTTCTTTGACAAAAATGTTGTACATCAAACAAAAATAAACCCTTACGACTACTTTTTACCAATTTACTCCAACACTCCTGACGCATACCAATTTGACACTCTCATTCAAAGCAGAAAAGGAGGACATAAACCATTCCTCATCTTCATAAATGTTAACACTCGTAAAGCATATGCATATCCAATGAAAAATAAAGGAACTCGTGAAGTGTTAAGAGTTTTACAAAAGTTTGTAGCAGAACATAACCCAAGTACTTTAACATCAGACCAAGACAGTGCATACCTCAGCAATGAAATCACAGAATTTCTCATTAAGCATAACATAACTCACTACACTACTGAAGACCATAACCATAACATACTCGGCATCATAAACCGCTTCATAAGAACGCTCAGAGATTTAAATCAAGAGCGAGACTTTACCGAAGAAACAATGAAACATTTTCTCGAAGTATATAATTCCTCAACACATTCTACAACAGGACATACACCAAATTCAATGACACAACAACAAGAAGAAAAGTATATACAAAAGAAACGAAGCCAAACACAAAATATCAGAAATTCAACACAATTTACCCTCATTCCTGGTACAAAAGTTCGTGTAGTTCTTGACGACAAACCGTTGACAAAGAAACGTTTAAGGTTAAGTAGAAACTATTATATCGTAGACTCTACACAAGGTAATGGATATCTTATAAAAGCTGCTGACGACTCCATAGCATTTTACCCTCGACATAAGTTAGTTGAAAGTAGTAATGGCAAACTTGCTGAAACCATTGACGAAGCAAAGCGAGGAGTGGTTATTGAAATACTTGGCTACAACAAACGATGACACTTATAAAGTAAGATATGAAGGAGGTGTTGAAGATGTTATACCATCTAAGAACTTGAGAGAGTCAAAGCCAACACATCTGGGACCATTAGAGCGGGAGTACTGGAAAGACAAAAATATGCCAGAAAGAATAAGAAAATTCTTCTAAACTTTTTCATTAGATGTAAATCAGACATGAATGAGAACAGTCATGATATCATTAATGGTACCATTTATTTACACCAAAAAATAATGTTTATGTTAGAATGTTAGATCTAACACGTTTTCTAACCACTTTTCTAACATGGTCTAAAACTCTCGAAAATCATGAATTTTTGACATTTCCTTATGAAAGAAAAATAACGCTAATTTTTTTCTAAGAAAAATTTTTATCTTGTATGTAAAGATATGATTTCAACAATCGGCACAACAACAATTCAAACTACAGCACCAAACTCGTTAGTCATGAATCCAACATCTATGTTAGTAGAGATGAAAAGCTTCATTCCTTCTTCATATACTTTCGAAACAAAAATCCAGAAGATAAAGCAAGAACTTTTAACAAGTAATTTAGACTGTAGTGCGAAAGATGAAACAAATGAACAGTATCTTTATGAAATGCAGGACATTATTGACCATTTACCCAAATTGCCTGAAATCCAACAACAAAAACTAACTATTCCTGAATTCGACGAAATTGAAGTCAAAACAACTGACTCAGTAGAAATAAAGAAGTTCATACGTAAAGTAAATTATGAATTCCTTGGTTTTCATTGCAACCATAAAGTTATGGACAAAGATTGCGACATGGTTTATAAGAATGTTTCTGACATATATAAATCTGAAGAATTTAAGACCTACGATAACTTTGTTTCATTAGTTGCTGAATGTGTTTGGGAAATAAGAGATAAAGATAGAAGAGGCAAAGTATGGAACGAACAACTAAGACCCGCTATGTTTGAGATGAAGAGAGCAATTGACGCCTTAGTTGTTTTAGCAGGTCAAATTTCAATGTATAACGCAAAAATGAACCCGCAATGTTCAAAATGTAAGGCAGCGATGAGGAAATATAACTACTCCGTCAAAGAGATAGAAAGAATGAGAAACGACTATGCAGATTTAAAGAAAGAAGTAGAAAAGCCAGCAGAAGATAAAATGGACATGTTAGCATTTCTGAACAAAAATTATCCAACTGCTGACGATTTCCTTCTATCTGACGTCAAGAAGAAATATAAAGAAACCTTCGGCATTGTTAAAACATTCGATGTACTAAAAGAAGAAATAGAAGCTACAAAACTGTTTAAAGTCATGAACCATCGCAACATATACCATGTAAAACGCTTGTAAATAGTTATGTTAGAAAAGAGGTTAGAAAACGTGTTAGATCTAACATGCTAACATAAACATTATTTTTGCTGAATTCAGCACAAAATTCTGAGTAAAATGACATATGGCACGTGTCAAACCGTTGAGTTTTCACAAATTTTAAAAATTGCTGCGGAAAGTTCGTCAAAAAAGTGAAGGTTCCCGACGGTTTCAAACCGCCATACTTTACATGAAGATAGTTTACAATGTCAACTAAATATCATGTACGATAGAAACGGTTATGTAAAGTTTACATTTTGTAAAGTTTTGTCCTGATTCAAGACAAGTCTTGTATTTTTTCAGAACAAGTCTTGTATTTTTTCAGAACAAGTCTTGTATTTTTTCAAGACAAATCTTGTCCTGATTCAGAACAAGTCTTGCACTTTTTAGTCAGTTTTTCTTGTAAAGTTCTCAAATTTGAGAACAATTGTCCTGATTCAAGACAAGTCTTGTATTTTTTCAGAACAAGTCTTGTATTTTTTCAGAACAAGTCTTGTATTTTTTCAAGACAAATCTTGTCCTGATTCAGAACAAGTCTTGCACTTTTTCAGGAAATCCTATCGTCTAACTTTACAAATGTCACTTTTTCAACATGATTGCATTTTGGTCGGGAAACAACTTTCTCTCAATTTTGTCACTTTTTTCTATCGTCGTGTTTTGTCACTTTTCCCTCAGGGTGTGTGTCAGAAAATATCCAAAATCTTTATAGCCTCGTATCTCCTTCAATTCTTGACGGCTTGACATGTATGACACACCATTCAATTCAGAATTATGTGCTGAATCTTATGACCTTCATTTGTTCGTGACTTCTTTTCACATATGTAACCCTGAATTTTTAACATTTCTTTAACACAGAAAAATAAAGTTAGTTTTATTTTTATTTATTTTTTTATTTTGTATGTAAGGACAGATATGTCAACAACAGAGAACACAACAACTGCTATCGTTCATGAAGCCATAAATGAAGAATACGAGTGGGTTCAGTTTAACAAACAACTCCGTCTCATTCGTTCGGTCAAAGACGATATGTACCAAATGCAAAGTATTTTGACAGCATGTTTTGCTCCAGACACTAAACACGCAGACGACTGGTTCAAAAACCAAAGCACACAAGAACTTTTGAGTGAAATTTCTCTAGACCGACTTTTTTCGGTCTTGCATAAAACACATGAAAATCGTAAAAATTTGCCAATAAATTTAAGAGGTTATTATGTTCATAGACTTTTAGTAAATGCAGTTGCAATGTGGGCTTCTCCTCGTTATGCATGGCATGTTTACAGACTTCTTGACGAAATTCATAGACAAGAACGTGGAGAGATGGAAAAGAAACTTCAAGCAAAAGATGAAGTCATTGAATCCAAAGACAAAAGCATACAGAAAAGAATACCACGTTCAGTACCAAAAGGAAAGGAAAAGAGTTATAAGTATATGATATATACTGAAGAGTTGGAGAAAGAAGAAGATAAAGATATGGTTATGTTGCATTTAGTCAGAAGAAACAACAAAAGCTTTTATGACCTTGCTAAGATTTACAAATCTGACAGAAACTGGTTCTATCGTGAAAACTTACCGATTTCAATGACACCGAATGAGCAAATAAAGGAAATTGTCAAAAATACTCTTCCTCAAACACACTATGACATCAAAGGTTGCACAATACTTACATTCAAAGAAGACTTAACATTACTGAAGGAAAAAATAACAGAATATTTCGATAACTTCAAAGAGGAAGAATAAAAAAATCTAAGCTAATTTTATTTTTTTATAAAATTTTATCTCATATGAAAGAACATGAATTTAGAATATTCGGAACTCATGACAGAAGAAGAGAACGAACAACATGTAAAAGATTATGCAAAATTTCTGAAGACATACAAAGCATTTAAACAATATCTAAATGCTTCTAAAGATTATGCAAAATTTCTGAAGGTATATAAAGCTTATGAAAAAGCGTATGAAAAGTTTATACATTGGGGAATTGTTGTAAAATATCGATATGAAGACTAACCAAAAATATATTTTTGCTTAAATGACGTCAGGGTCAATTTCTTCAACCATTTCACTTCCTTCGTCAATGTCAATAGAAGCTTCTTCAACCTTTGGTAAGAACTTTTGTATAACATCTTTGTTCGTTATTGTTTTCAGAGATGAAGAATAATATTTCACATTTGTTTCACCCTTCTTATATTCTTTCTGTTCGGAAAGATTCATAGCAATACTGAAGAAGTCAATGTTGGAGTTCTTTATAATAGTATAATGAGTATCTTTGACATTCACGAAGAAACCCTTTTGTTTCAAAACTACTGCTAACTCTTGTGAAGTATAACGTTTGCGGTCAATGACAAGCTAATGGTCTGACATACTGACCAAACTTAGATTCTTTCACAAACTTCTTGTTAAAGATAACATTGACGTTTGAAGCATTATTGAACTCATTCTTGATGACAGTAGCGAGAGCATTGTATGAAAAGAACTTGCAATCTTGCATGTGTTTCATTAAAATAAAAATATTAAATTATTTTGAAAAATAACTTAAAAAAATCTAATCTAATTTTTTCAAAAAATATTTTTTATCCGATAGAAAAGATGACAGAAAAATTAACTTTTTACATAGCGCCAGACCCTTCTTGCCCACATCTTTTTAAGCCACAATATATAGTCATAGAACTAAATAGAGAAAGCGAAATTCTACAAATAGAAGAAAGCGAAATTCTACAAACAGAAGAAACATATAGAGACCTAGATAACGAAACTGGATATGCACTATTCTGGTTAGATTGTCCTTATGAAATGTATGAAAAAAAGGCTTTATATGAAGAATATAGAAAATATTGTCATGAAAACAATATAAGACCAAGCTCTAGAGAAAAATTCTATGCTGGTATAAAACATCTTTTCGAAGTTCGGAATGGCAAATATAGAAAGAAATAATTTTTCTAAGTTTATTTTTTCAAAAAATATTTTTTTATTTCCTACTAAAGATGTATCGGAAGTTGTCTAAGTTAGAACACTCGGAAATAAAACAACTTCTTACAGAAGCTAATATAGATGTTGCAAAGCATTACACAACAAACAAAAAGGCACTCGCTGACATCCTCAATGACTATAATGGTGAAATAACTTATGATAGAATTCATGAGTTCATAAAGCCGCAACGCGGCGAGGACGAAGTCCATGCAAGAGCATTTCCTTTAAATGACGTTGCTATTGACTTATATCATAGACGTTCAATACCTCATGAAGTAAGAAGAGAAATGTTTGACATAACAAATGCAAACGTGGTCATACTCGTAAAGCTCTTTTCACATGACGTTCGTCAAGAGATGTTTGACATAACAAATGCAAACGTTGGTGAAACAAGAAGAGCTGTACCACATGAAGTAAGAAGAGAAATGTTTGACATAACAAATGCAAACGTTGGTGAAACACGAAAGAGAGATGACACACTGAAACAACAGAGAAGAGAGATGTTTAAAAGTGCTATAGAACAAGTTCGCAAAGCTAATAATGTCATTCGTTCCATTGACGACAAACCAAAAGAAGGTGAGAGATGGTTAAAGAAAGATGAAGAAAATAGGAAGAGGAATGTGAAGTCAGGCAATAGACTCATTGACTTTAACATCGAAGCTTTAGATGAACCAAACAGAGACTACTTACACAAACATTTCGGTAAGGTTTTCATGAGACTCTTAGAGAAAATTAAAATAAACTCCCAACAGAGATGGATGGTATGTTATAAACTTGGTGGAAAGTATGAATGTTCTACGTTAAACCTCAATAATATTGGAACATTACTACATCAGCTCTTGAAGGAGAACTTTATATCAGAGATAGAAGCAAATGCTGCAGGTATTGTTGAAATGCACTATGACTTCTTCTTGACAAACATAAAGAATCTTACTGAAATAAAGATGTATGATTTAACAGAATATGAAGGCTTAACAATGTCAGATGTAAAGAAAGGAAACCAAGAAGAGACCATATAGAGATGAAAGCACACTGACAAATGACCAGAAAGCCATTTTGGAAGCTCTTAAGCAAACAGGAAACCCAGCACTTATAGAAAGCTTTTGGAAAGATAATGGTGAAAAGAAGTTTTATAAGAAGAGAAGCGGTCAGTTCTGGAAGTATCTTTGCACATTACCTATAAATCTTGAACGCTACCAAATCTTCAATGAACTGAACAAAAGAACTGCAACACTTATGACAGAAGATAACTGCTTCGTTTATGCTTGCATTCAGGCTGGAGTAAATGAAGAAACTATTGACCACATGAGAGAAGTCATTCGTGTTAGAGACTTTCCTCAAAGTAAAGTACAAGAAATTTCTGACGCAACAGGTATAGCATTTAATGTTACCATTGGTTACTTCAATGACTCAAGACATAATGAAATAAAGAGATACATACCAAAAGAATGTGAAACTGTTCGAACTATTGACTTACTTCTTGTTGAAGACCACTACATGCTAAATGAAAGACTTCCAATGACAACATATTTCATTCGAAACTATATAGAAATCTTGAAGGAGTGTGGTGGAATGAACATTGAAAAACAGATGAAAATATATACAAAGAGAGAAGATAAATATGTAGTTCGCATGGATAGAACTACACCGCTATGGGATGTTATGAAAACATTGTGGGAGTGCAAATATTTTGAACCTATTTCTTATGGAGAACTTTTCACATATACGACTGACTTATATAAACAGAACCTTGCACCATTTAAAGATTTGACATATGCTCCAAAGTATTGTGTACAACTGAAGAAGAAAGCAGAGTCAAAAGAAGTAAATAAAGCTAAATGTAAGTTCATACCTGAGCACGTTTTCTTTGCTGACTTTGAGTGTAGTACGGATGGCTTTCATAAAGCTTTTAACATCTGTTATGACAGTGAAGATGGTTCAGTTAGTGAAAGTATTTGGGGTCAAAACTGTGCAACAGAATTTTTGGAAAGACTTCCTGACAAGAGTTTAATATATTTCCATAACCTCAGTTATGACATAAACTTCATCTTAAGACACATGACAGAAGTGAAAGGAACTCCCATCATTAAAGGTTCACGAACAATGCAAATAACTGGTTTATATAAAGGAAGGGCAATTATTATAAAAGACTCTTACAGTGTTATAAATAAGAAGCTTAAACTATTTCCTGCTATGTTTAACTTACAAACAGGACCGAAAGAAGTATTTCCATATAACTACTACAGCAGTGTTTTGTTAGCAAATGACAACAGAACTGGTGTCATTTCTGAAGCATGTAAGTTTATCCATGATGCAGATACATTTATGAAGAACATAGATTCCATCAAAGGTTGCAGAATAGATGAAAACCACTTCGACTTAGAAAAATATAGCACGTTTTACTGCAAACAAGATGTAAGAATTTTAAGAGAAGGTTTTGTAAAGTTCCGCAATGACTTATTGAAAGAGTTTGATTTAAACGTTTATGACTACGTTAGTATTTGTTCTATTGCTAACAAATTGTTTGAGAACAGAGTATACTTCCCGAATGGAAATCTTTATGACCTCTCAAATAAACCAAGAGAATTTATTTCGAGATGCATTCAAGGTGGAAGATGTATGTTGTCAGATAACATGAAACAAAAGAGCAAAAAGAAACTCATTGCTGACTTCGACACTGTTTCATTATATCCTTCAGCTATAGCAAGACTTTATACTTTAGAAGGTATTCCAAAAGTATTGAAGGAAGAAATGTTAAGCACAGAGTATCTCATGAGACATTTATTCGATGACGACCAAAAGGAACCCATTGGTGAAAAGTTTATGTCTGGCTTCTTTGTTCTCATTAAGATAACAGAGATTGGTATACCCAGACACTTTCATTTAATAGTTTGCGACCCTGAACTAAATCCAGAACTTAACGTTCCAAGAAGTTCAAACACTTGCTGTCTCATGTATGTTGACCATATAACATTACAAGACCTCATAAAATATCAAGGTGTCAAATGTGAAGTGTTGCAAGGATACTATTACGATGGAAACAGAGATATGAGAATAAGAGATGAAGTAAAGAAGTTGTTTGAGTTAAGGTTAAAGTATAAGAAAGAAGAAAACCCCTTACAAGAAATTATAAAACTCATTCTGAACAGCATTTATGGCAAAACTATTCTATCTCCTATTGAGTCAAAAATAACCATAGTAGATGACAAAGATGCTATAAGATATGCTATAAGAAATTACAACCATATAGTGAAGTTCGAAGGTTTGGATGGTTCAGATAAAACTATTTTCAAGCTAACGAAAAGCATTTGCAGACACTTTAACTTCTGTCCACTTGGTGTTAATATTCTGTCTATGTCAAAACGTATTATGAATGAAGTATTCTGTACTGCAGAGGACATGGGACTTCAAATCTTTTACCAGGATACCGACAGTATGCACTTATATAATGAAGACATCCCAAAGCTTGCAGCAGAGTTTAAGAAGAGATATGGTCGCGAACTTATAGGAAAGAACCTTGGTCAATTTCATAGCGACTTTGCAGAAATAACACCTGGAAAACAAAGTTTAGCTTATAAAAGTATTTTCTGTGGAAAGAAGACCTACATAGACTTACTCACTAACGATTTAAATGAAGTTGCATTTCACTGCAGAATGAAAGGCGTGAAGCAAGATGTTATTGCTTTAACCGCTAATGAAATGTTTCCTGAAGCTATACAATGCTATTACAATGAAGATAAGAACATTCACATACCTGTTGGAACATATGACAAAGACTCTGAGTTCAGTTTAATGAAACTTTACAAAGCACTTCATGATGGTCAAGAGATTGCATTCGACTTATGTAAGTCATGTCAACCTTGCTTTGCTGAAAAGTTCAACTTTTCAATAACGACTAAAACAAGCTTTATTCGTAAGTTGAAGTTCTGAGGTCATTTATTTTTGTCAGCAATGAGGTCATTCGTGATAAAAATAAAGCTAGCGTAGATTTTACAATACTGCGATGGTAGAGTTTAAGAGTTGTGCTTCAATGTAGAGACAGTCCTTCCCATCTGGAGGCAAGAACACTGGACATTTATGGTCATGAGTGGAGTACATGTCTATCCAAAACTCACGATTGAAGCCAGTTAATTTATAGTATTTAGGGTTAGGAAGTGGTGAAGTTCTTGTATGACCAATGAACTCATTTTCAACGCCTTTGGCTATATTAGAGTAAAGTATTGCTTGCTTTCTATCCCAAATGCCAGGTGTTACAATCTTTGAAAATTCATTTTTCCTCGGAAGCATTGCATCATAATTGAAAACATTCTTAAAATCATCACTTGGTTCGGAGATTTGAAATCTTATACGTAATGGATTTTCTTTCTTTTTAGCGACTTCATTGAATGGTGAGAATACAATGAATTGACAGTCATGAGTTCCATCTTCATTTTCATTAAATTCATAATGAAAGTCTATAAGTTGTGGCTGACTACCTTCTTCTTTCAGTTGTGCAAGAAACTCACGTAAAGGCTGTAAAGTTTGTACTTCAATGTTGAACTTTTTCTCGAACATCTCATTAAATGAAATCATACATTGTTGCAATGTTGTATCGTCTTTAAAGTATTTGTATATGTGAATGTTTTGGGCGCTTAAAGACTGTTCGTCATTTTCTATCTCGACTTGAAGTATAAAGTCAACCTTTCTGAAAGCACGTGTTATATACATAGATGTTATGCCAATGTACTTCTCTTCATTTATGTTCACAATCCAGTCTGTTGGAAACTTAAACGTTACTCTGTTCCCCTTTATTTTGACGTCAGGGTTTTCACTACTGAACGCAACAGTTAAAGGTATTTGTCTATACATTTAATTCGGATAAAAATAAACCATTTACTCTTTCTTTGCTTCAGCTTCTTTAGCTTTTGCTTCTTCTCTAGCTTTTTTCGCCAGCAAACGTGGGTTCTTCTGTCTTCCAGCAGCTAATGCAGCTAGTTGTTTTTCACTAAGTTTTCTCTTTGGTCTCTCTGGCTTTTGTTCTTGTTTTTGTTCCTTCAGTTCGGATAAAATTTGCTCGCGAATTTCTTTCTTCAATGCTTCAACATCTATGACACCTTGGGTCTTGTCCGTAGGGCTTGTCTGAGTCATTTGACTGCAGATAAAAAACTAAATTAAAACTTTAACCGATGTAAAATGAGCTTGTCAAAATCAGAGCGAGAGTCTATTATATTAAATGACGCAAGAGGAATACAACATCCTTTCTATTACGTAAGTCAGAGTAAAGATGGTAAAATATACGTAAGAAAAAGAAAGGTTCCATTAGCGAATGCAGAAGCGACAACATTAAGGTGCATGGCAAGGGTGAAGTCCACGAAGCCCATATAACCTTCTATTCAAACTGAAAAGTCAATAGAACCAGAAGAAAAGAAGCCAGATGTACTTTCAATAACGAACCAAGAGCTTATTGCAAAGTTCGTGAATTTCATTGAAAAACAAACCGAGTCAAAGAACCCTGACCCGCCAGTGAAAGAAGTTGAGACAAAAGAGAATGTACAGTTCATTGAAAATGTCAAGAAACAACTTCCACCACGAATACCAAGAAGAAGAGTGAGAATAATGAAGTAAATAGATATTTTTATCTGAAGTAAATACATGCAGAACGAACAGCTAAACGAATTTACTCCAGCAGAGCATATTCATCAGATTCGCTCATATTTCGATATCATAGACAATGCAGTTCAAATTGGTGACACTAATAGAAAATATTCTGACGCAAAGATTCCATCACAACCTGGAACTGCTAAAGATAACACATGGGTAACATTCAATCTCTCACCTCCTGGTGAAAATATGTTGGACCTTTACAATACATTCATTACGTATAAAATGGAAGGTCAATTTATTGCAGATAAAGAAATTGGTTCAGGTTCCAATAAAACAAACCCACCAGGATTTTGGATTGGTTTCGATGACGCTTTCTATGCAGTTGCTGGATATCAAATCCTTGCAAATGGTCGTATCGTATATTCTCAAGACAACGCAAGAGAAGAAGCATATATAACTTCAAACTCACAAACTACCGAACAAATAAAGAAAGTAGATGTTTTCTCAAAGACTCGACATGAAGATGTATGGAGTCATTCGGGAACATGCAGAACAGGACAAATTGTTAGTGGTCCAATTACAGCAGGAAAATCATTTGATTTTAAGCTTCGTTTAAGAATTCCTGTTAGAAGATTCCTTCCATTAGAAGCTATTCGATTTATTCCAGCTTTTGCAGGAAACATTCAGCTTAAAGTAAAGTTCAGTAGCGACGCCTTACAATGCACATCTATATCTGTAAATGATATCATTGCTTTCAATCCAACTCTTAAAGTTGCATTTGCTTCAGATTCAAATCCACCGACAAATAAATTTGTTCCATGGAATGAACCATTCACTATGATAACGAAGGCAATAGAAGCTAGTGGAACAGTTACTATTACAACTGTAACCCAGCAACTATTTCGAACAAAGATGGATTTTAATGAATGTTTCATTCATCCAAAGTCATTCTCTTTAGACCCTAACATTTATACAGAACTTGTAGAACATTATACAAACGAGGCTTTATGTTTTCCTGTTAAAGTTATGGATTGGATTCCTATGGACGGTTCATTCTCAAAGAATACAGATAGTTCAAGTGCAACATTTACAGCAGCTTATACGCCTATTAATGTTAAAAGTATTTGGGCACTATTTAGAAAGAAAGACAACTATTATGTTAATTTTGAGAACCCTAAGTTTAAATATCTTCAGCTTTCCATGGGAGCTTATGGAAATATGCCTGCAGAACCTGAAAAATCATATGGACCTGTATTTTATGAAATGGTTGCGAACGCTTGCAATACAAACAATGATATGATAGGATTTAATGAAGATGTTATGAGGTCATTGGTGGATGATGGTAGTGTGGAACATAAATGGGATAGCTATGACAACACACATTTCTTATGTGGTTTTCCAACAGAAGTGGACTTTTGCTTCCAGCAAGGTCAAACATCTACTGCTCCAATAACATACAAATTGTCTGTTAAAGGACCTATTGAACTAGCAACTGAAAATGTACCAAAGCCACTTATTGGATTTATGAGGGATTGTTGCTTTGCAATACAAGTAAGACAGTCAGGCATACCAATAATAAGACTTGACGACTATAACTTAGCAACTGACGACAGTGAGGAATAAAGGATGAACGTTTATTTTTAAAGCTTATAAATGAGTTCTTCATCAAGCTCTCGTGAACCTTCACCATCTGTGAAACAAACTTTACCAAACGATTATGGAGCACCTATTGAATATTTCTTACGAGCTGCACAATGGCAAAGAGCAGTTTCACCAAGGTTAGGTGTTCCACCAGCTCCTGTCAAAAATAGCATTTGGTCAAGTCCTTATATAAGATATGGTCTCCCACTAGGTTTGCTAGCTACAGCAGGAGCAGTTATGATGTTGAAAAGAAATAAAGCAAATGTTATAAATAATACTGAAGTAGCTGAAGTTAAACAAACTCCAACACCTTCGTCAAAACCAACGCCTTCACAAGCAAAACCTTCAATGACTCCTGAACCTATGGAAGTACAAACTCCTGTTCAAAAGTCAACTCCTAAACCGACTCCAACATTTAAACCAGAACCTACGCCTCAAATAAATCGTAAAACTCCTGCGTTTCCTTACTGAAAAATAACGTTATTTTTATTTTATTTGAACATTTTTATTTGATTGAAATGACGACTAAAGTCACTGAAGCAATGAAACAAAAGTTTTTGGTAGAATACATTAAATCAGGAATTATTCCAGAAGGTTTTTACGTTCATACTATGAAGGATGGTAGAGTTCAGTTTAGAAAGATAAAGCAACCATTAGATAGAGAAGGAATTTTGAGAAAGATTAAACTTCATGAGGACAACATTGCTGAACTTAAGAAGAAGTTAGAAGAGTTGGAGAAAGGAAGAGAGTTATAAAGCAATGAATTCAACAGGTTAGAAATGAGGTTAGAAAACGTGTTAGATCTAACATTCTAACATAAACATTATTTTTGTGCTATGTTTTCATACGTGTGAGGGTGGTGATATCATTAATTTTAAGTTTATTTTTTATTTTATTTTTATTTTATTTGGATGTAATGACAGAACAAAAGCAACTCATACAAATCAAAACATATAACAAACATATATTTAAACATTTATTCTTCCTTCCTGAGCATAACATGTTCTTTCAAATACATCCGAGACCAGTTGACTTTTCATTGACTGTTTATAAAGATAGAAATAGTTATATCATTAAACCATACGATGACGAAGGTAAGTTATGTAAATTGTACGTTAAGAAGTTAGAGAAAGTTTATGGCTTCAAGTATGACTACAATAGGGTTAACACTGATGATGAAGATATTGAGGAAAATTTATGAGAACATTAGTGAAGTTGTTAGTGAGAACGATAGTGAGAACGTTTATTTTTACATTAGTGAGTTCGTTAGTGAAGTGAAGTGGTTGGCGGCTTTGTAAAGTGTCAAATTCACAAGTATTGGGTAAGGTGGAACGCAGTGCCACAGTACCCAAGACTTGTATACTAACTACATTTCCTCAAAGTTTCTCAGCAATTTAGCGAGGAATGTTCGTTATCGTGTAGATATTTATAATATATACATGATAACAAACATTCCCCGCTAAAAGATGTAAAATCTTATAAGAAATAATTGCAAAAGAATAACAAATTGCAACAAATTTTATATGAAACTGAACCTTATGAGGTAGTGATTCAAGATCACCGCCTCATAAGATTCAGTTTCAATCTCAAGTATCTCAAAAGTAAGACTCTATTTTTTGCCATGTAAAGTGTCACTTTTCTGTCAAACCATTTTTATTGTTTTCGTTTACAACAATGGAATGACTTCAGGATGGGTCCTGACTGACGTCGGTTCGCGTCCTGACTGACATCAGGAAATTCTATCGTTCTACTTTACAAAATGTAAACTTTACATAACCGTTTCGATCGTACATGATATTTAGTTGACATTGTAAACTATCTTCATGTAAAGTATGGCGGTTTGAAACCATCGGGAACCTTCACTTTTTTGACGAACTTTCCGCAGCAATTTTTAAAATTTGTGAAAACTCAACGGTTTGACACATGCCCTATGTCATTTTACTCAGAATTTTGTGATGAATTCAGCAAAAATAATTTTTAGGGTAGAAGGTTAGATCTAACCCGATATCTACCCTCATTATTTATAACCGTTTTACATGGTAAACGTTATGAATTCGTGAGATTCTAAACAGTTTTGTAGCTTCTATTTCTTCGCTGAGGATATCAAAAGTTTTAACAATGCCGAAGGTTTCTTTATACTTCTTCTTGACGTCAGATAGAAGAAAATCGTCAGCAGTTGGATAGTTTTTGTTCAGAAATGCTAACATGTCCATTTTATTTTCTGCTGGTTTTTCTGCTTCTTTCTTTAAGTCTGCATAGTCGTTTCTCATACGTTCTATCTCTTTGACGGAGTAGTTATATTTCCTCATTGCTGCTTTACATTTTGAACATTGCGGATTCATTTTTGCGTTATACATTGAAATAAAACCAGCTAGAACAACCAAGGCGTCAATGGTTTTCTTTAACTCAAAGGCTGCTGGTTTTATTTGGCCATTCCATACTTTACCTCTTCTATCTTTATCTCTTATCTGCCATACACATTTTGCAACTAATGAAACAAAGTTGTCGTATGTCTTAAACTCCTCCGATTTATATATGTCAGAGATGTTCTTATATACCATGTCGCAATCTTTGTCCATAACTTTATGGTTGCAATGATATCCTAGAAACTCATAGTTTACTTTACGTATGAACTTCTTTATTTCTACTGAGTCAGTTGGTTTCACTTCTATTTCATCGAATTCATGAATAGTGAGTTTTTGTTGTTGGATTTCAGGCAATTTGGGTAAATGGTCAATAATGTCCTGCATGTCATAAAGATATTCTTCATTTTCTTCATCCTGTGCGGTACAGTCTAAATTACTTGTTAAAAGTTCTTGCTTTATTCTTTGTATTTCTGTTTCGAAAGTAAATGAAGAAGGAATGAAGTTTTTCATTTCTACTAACATGTTGGATTCATGACTAACGAGTTTGGTGCTGTTGTTGTTTGAATTGTTGTTGTGCCGATTGTTGAAATCATATCTTTTATACAAAATAAAAAAACAAATAAAAATAAAACTAACTTTATTTTTTCTGTCTTAAGGAAATTCGTGAGGGTAGAAATGAGGTTAGAAATCGGGTTAGATATACCCTTCTACCCTAAACATTATTTTTGGTCATGGGCTATGCCCCGCCGCTTTGCGGCTTTATGACAAAAATAAATGGTTCATTTCCTCACAATATTTTTGTACAAAACGACCCCAAACTTTTAACTTCTTTTCTGCAGCTTCTAATGCTATCTTAGCGAGTTCATATTCTCTAAATTCTCTCTTTAAATCTTCTTGTTCCCATTGGTCTAGTTCGTATGGAGAATCTCTATAACCATAACATATCTCACGTTCATGTTCTAATTGTTTTTCGCGCATTTTTCTAACATCTTGTTCGAACAAAGGTTTAGCATTCTCTACTGTATCTTCAAGTTCTTCTTCATCTAATTTCTCATGAACTTTCTTGTCTATGGAGTCCATAATTTTTCCAACTGCTATGCAATATTTTGGAGAAGCCCACATTGCTATATAGTTTATAAGTCTTGGGTCTACATACGTTCCTCTAACCTGTCTGATTTCATCAGGAATTCCCGCATGAATTTTGTATAAAAAGCAACCGCCGGAATTCCGGTGGTTGCTATATTCTTCACAAAATGCCTTATAATACTCTTCCCAGGACTTATTTTCCAACAACTTTCTAAAGTCTTTCCTAAACTGCTGACACATATTTGTTGCATTAATGTAACCATCCTTGTCTCTACGTAAGACTTCAATACCGTTATAAGTGCCTTTTATGAATGTTTCGCCATTAGATTTGTTCGTGAATGTTTTTGCTTCGACTGACATTTCTGTTCTTACATACAAAATAAAAAAATAAATAAAAATAAAACTAACTTTATTTTTTTCTATCTTAAGGAAATTCATGAATTTTCATGAGGATAGAAATGAGGTTAGAAATCGGATTAGATCTAACCTTCTACCCTAAATTTATTTTTGTCTGATTTCATCAGGAATTCCCGCATGAATTTTGTATAAAAAGCAACCGCCGGAATTCCGGCGGTTGCTATATTCTTCACAAAATGCCTTATAATACTCTTCCCTAAAAATTATTTTTGTCTGATTTACATCTAATGAAAAAGTTTAGAAGAATTTTCTTATTCTTTCTGGCATATTTTTGTCTTTCCAGTACTCCCGCTCTAATGGTCCCAGATGTGTTGGCTTCGACTCTCTCAAGTTCTTAGATGGTATAACATCTTCAACGCCTCCTTCATATCTTACTTTATAAGTGTCATCGTTTGTGTTATAGCCAAGTATTTCAATAACCACTCCTCGCTTTGCTTCGTCAATGGTTTCAGCAAGTTTGCCATTACTACTTTCAACTAATTTATGACGAGGATAAAACGCAATAGAGTCGTCGGCAGCTTTTATAAGATATCCATTACCTTGCGAAGAGTCTACGATATAATAGTTTCTACTTAACCTTAAACGTTTCTTTGTCAATGGTTTGTCGTCAAGAACTACACGAACTTTTGTTCCAGGAATGAGAGTAAATTGTGTTGAATTTCTGATATTTTGTGTTTGACTTCGTTTCTTTTGTATATACTTTTCTTCTTGTTGTTGTGTCATTGAATTTGGTGTATGTCCTGTTGTAGAATGCGTTGAGGAATTATATACTTCGAGAAAATGTTTCATTGTTTCTTCGGTAAAGTCTCGCTCTTGATTTAAATCTCTGAGAGTCCTTATGAAGCGGTTTATGATGCCGAGTATGTTATGGTTATGGTCTTCAGTAGTGTAGTGAGTTATGTTATGCTTAATGAGAAAATCTGTGATTTCATTGCTGAGGTATGCACTGTCTTGGTCTGATGTTAAAGTACTTGGGTTATGTTCTGCTACAAAAGATTGTAAAACTCTTAACACTTCACGAGTTCCTTTATTCCTCATTGGATATGCATATGCTTTGCGAGTGTTAACATTAATGAAGATGAGGAATGGTTTATGTCCTCCTTTTCTGCTTTGAATGAGAGTGTCAAATTGGTATGCGTCAGGAGTGTTGGAGTAAATTGGTAAAAAGTAGTCGTAAGGGTTTATTTTTGTTTGATGTACAACATTTTTGTCAAAGAACTTTTTAACTTCAGCTCTGTTAGTAAATCCCCAACTTTTTGCTGCTTCATTGAACTTCTTAAATGACCTCCATGGATGTTGTTCGAATACTTCTTTCAAGCTCATTTATGTAAAGTTAAAGATTTTATTCAAGACGGTACCATGCGAATACAGTTATAAATGGTGGCATATAATCTGCACCCAAGCCTGTTGGATTTGTTGTGAAAGTGTGTGAATGATTTCCTCCTGGTTCAGTTGGTCGAAAAGTCTTTTTTGCTGAATTGTTATAAGCTGGAGATAAAACGTCATGACCGGCTTCATAGTCTGAGTTGTATAATGGGTGGTCTCTTAATGAGTGGCTATGGTCGCCAGAAAAGTTTGTAGTTCCTGTATGCTTATGCGGTGGAAGGTTTGCTTCTAAAATTTTCTTTGAACCACCTGTTTGCTTTGAAGAGTTAGCACAGTATAAGAATTTGTCTACAATCTGCTGCCATGTACCAAAACCTAAAACACTTGCTGGATTTGTTGAGTTCATTGACGTATAAATAGAGCCTATAGGATATAATGTTTGAAGTATTTCAGTCTTTAATGTTTGAAGCTCTGTTTTGTCGGCTTTCTTATCATATAAATCTAGAGCAGTGAATTTAACATTATTTTCATCATCCATGACATAAACATTTTTACAGCTAATTTCTTTCTTCGTTGTTATGTTTTCATTCGATGTTAAACCTTGTGGAAAGTTAGGAGGTTTATAATATAATGCATCCCCACCAGTTCCGCCAACCGTTCCTTCAATACTTTCTATAGCAACAGTTGAGAAGGAGTTATGTGTATGTTCTTTATCTGCTTTCTTATCTAACATTGCTGGTAGTTTATATGTTTCAAAGTTTCTGACATGACCTTCAATGTTCATACATTTGTTATTTAAGGAGTTTAGTGTATCTTTTACGCTTGTACTTGGATTCTCTAAAGGTGCACTTGAACCGAGGGTATAGTTCAATATTATGTCGTCTGCTCTAACAGTAGTGAAGGATTCATGTGTATGGTTCTTATCTGCTTTACTATTTAATGTAGCTTGAAGTTCATTTATATCGGAGATATTGTGTTTATGAGATTTCAAAACTTTGTTCATTGCGTCAAGTTCATCTTTGTCTGCTTTACTTTTAATAGCATCTTCAAAAGTTATTTTTGTCTTAACTCTCAACATAAATCTTGGTTCAACTAATACACCGTTAACAAAGAAGTATGAAGCATAAATTTCATCGTTATAACCAAATGCTTCTGGTGCTTTACCTGTGTCATACTGTACAGTACAGCGTATGTCATAACCTTCAGCACGAATGAATTTATATCTTCTTTCATTAACATCTTTCGTCTTCACTTCTTCATCCTGTGTTAAATATCCATGATAATCCGTTATAATCTGTTCATCTGAACTTATATAATGAACATGGTTTTTATCTGCTTTATTATCTAATTTCTCTTCTATCTCATTTATTTCAAGTTCATGCCTACCACCACCTCCTTCAGAAGTATTTTTCTTCAGCTCTTGAAGAACATCCACTTCACCATCTTCGGTGTCAATAATGAGACTTTGTGTTAAAACTTTTCCTGTCTTAATGGATGTTTGTAAAACTTCTTCTTCACCGTGTTCGGGGTCATGGTCGTCATCATATCTTGTGAAATCAGAGATGTTGTCATACATTAAGCATATCTGTCTCAAAAGTTCTGCTATTTGGAACTGGAACGAAAGATATACAGAACTTTCATCATCTCCTAAAGTCAAGTCTGCTTTCTTAAGTATTTCTTGAATGTATGCAATGAGAACAGAGTACCTTGGAAAATATTCGAACAATATTTCATTAGCTGTTGGTTTTGGTGGTTCTTCTGGAGTTTCTGTTGTTTCAGTTCCTTCTGTAGGTTCTGTTGGAGTTTCTGCATCTCTTGATTTCAATGCTCTTGCTCTCAAAGACCTAAATGTTAGAGCACCAGGTTTTACAAAGGACTTTATAAATGCTTTAATAGTTCCTGGTAAGTTATTGTTAGCATTAAGTAAGTTCTTTATACTTCCATCATGTACGTACTTTTCTTGTAGTCAGCAATAGACTGACTGTGATTTTTTAAAGATTTGTCAATACCTTTAAGCCAATCTTCATGCATGTCTGATACTGAGCCAAGAATATCATTTGCTTCCTTTAGTGTATTTTGTGCTTCTCGTAAAGTATCCAATCCCGTACGTGCATTGTTTGCTATACGTCTTACAGTATCTATTTGACTCCTTGTTTCTTGCATCCAACCAGATAAAGTTTTAATAGTATCCGAACCATTTGAAATGAAGTTCAAAGCATTTTTAACGTCATCTAAAGCTTCTTCACCAAGTACTGCCCATATCTTTCCGATTTGGTATTGAAGAACTCCATATGAACCAGCTGTTAAACCAGTATTTATAAGGTTCCATATCCATGATTTAGCAGTTTTTCCATCCTTTCCATCTTCTCCATCCAAACCGTTTTCGCCTTGAGGTCCTTGAATTCCTTGAGGTCCAGTGTCACCCTTCTCTCCTTTCAGTTCATCTTTATGTTCGTTATAATATTCTAATGTCATAAGGTGTACATCATTACTGCTACCAGCAACGCCGAGAATTTGTTTCTCATTCATGACTAAATTCTTTAAGCATTTAATGTTGTCGTCAAATCGAAAGCTCTTTAATAATTCAATGAGAACATTTAGTACTTTCACTAATGAGGCATCTACTGTAGAATTTATATATTGCACCGTTCCATCATTTATGATAGGAACTTTACTTGTTGTAATGAATGGGTCATACGTGTTAAAAGTATCGAAATCAATGACTTTTTTAGTTTTTCCATCGTCAATGACTAAATCATTGCCTTCCACTGTTAAAGTTGAGTTTTCATTTACTAGTTCATGTGCTCTTCTTGCTTCATTTGTTTCATACGCATATGCAGCAATAGTCATATTTTAATGAGAATAAAATGTTGTTCTATTTGCAAAGTACAGACCCAAACGAATACGGGACAGTAAAGCTACAAACAAACTTAGGTCTTCAGAATGAAGCACTTGCTTTCAGAGTTGTTGACTTCAATACTATCGCAACTTTTGTCATAACAGATGAAACAGATTTCATAGAGATTGAAATAGATGACAAAAGAAGTTTTATAACATTTCCTAACAGAGCCGAGTATAGAATAGATAAAATTGCTGGAGTCATAGATACTCTCATAAATGAAGAAACTATTGACAACATAGATGTCGAACTCTCTTCTGAGGGAACATTGAAGTTCAGTTATGCGAAGGAGTTTAAGATAACACGAATGAGTCATAGAGTTCAACTTCTTTTAGGAGCATATCATATGCAACTACCTTTGAAAAGTGTTAGTGGAGTTATTGAGATGAAATCTGTTCCATACGTATGTTATGGCAATTGTTTATACATTGAGTCTAAAATAGCTAATGTCACAGGCATTTCAGGAGTTAATAGTAAAGGTTCAGTAGAGTATAAATCTTTCTGTTATGAACCCTTACAATTTGAAAGATATGCAATTCAGACTAGTTGACTTTCAAGGCGAGCCTGTAGAACTGAAGGCACCAGTGCGAATGACTGTTGAAGTTGACTTTTTAGAAAATATTAAATGCAACAGCTTACAAGAGAACTCAGAGCTAAAAATATAAAGTATGAATGTTATGTATTAGGTCATGAACTTTGGTTGTTGCTGTTTGATGAAACAAATGAGTTAGTTATGTCAGTCAAGAGAACAGAAAAATATTGTGTTAGTGAAAACTGCACCAAGTCAATAAGATTAGGTCTACATTATGAAGATGAGTTCGATACTGTTGAAGAAGTTTTGGACAGATATTACAAATTGCTAACTTGAAATTTTTTGACTGACTGCTTTAATTTACTAAAACATATTTCAAACAAAGCTTATAGTCAGTAGATAGTTTTGTATACTCGTTCGAATATTTATACTTAAACTCAACTCCTGTAGTTCCAGGTGTTTCAATGATGCGGATGTTACCTATTTTCATGAATAGTGGAGTTTGACCACAGCATTCGATTTCAGGGTCGAGATAGTCAATGACACATTGTTTCCCTGTTATTCGTGATATAACATTTTCAAGGTCCTCCTTTGTTAGAATTATTTGGTTTTTGCTTATAAGATTTGTCAAAAGCTTCTTATCGTCTTTGAGTAAAATTGTTTGGTATAACTGAAGAAGGTAATGGTCTACGTTATCTGAAGGATTTGTTTGAACATTTGTGTAAGGATTGTCGTTGGCTTCTCTTGAAAGAACTTGGTCTAATGGTGGATACTCTAACTTAACATCTGATGTAGCGTTAGCGTTTGAAGCTGTGTTTAAATTCACCGACTTAAGTTCTGGCTCCTTTTCTTTCAAACATTCTGAACTATAGTTCTTTATGACAATATTGTTTGTCGTTCGTGAGTCAACATTTGATGTTGGTTCAATTGGAACATTAACGGCACCAGCTAAGATGGATTTGCTTCTCATTTCATATAGAATAAAAACTTTTTATATGTATGAAATGAACAATATACTCGACAAGGGTTTGAATGCAAAGCTAACGAATGAAAATATTGTTGAATTCACTGAGACAGGTGCTGTGTATAAAGATGTAGAACTACTGAACAAAAGAGCTAAGGGAAGAAGCAGGAACATGAACAAAGGGTGGAAGCCTATAAAAATTTATGTCAATGATGGCTCAGGAGGTTCAAACATAAAATATGCAGAAAGTTATAGAGTTTATGCAATCAAGGGTGAAAAGCCTTCATTTAAGAACAGCTATTCTAACGCATATCCTCAAAAGCTAACGGATGGGGAAGTGGATGATATGAATGACAGCAAAAATATTAACAGAAATGGCGACAGAGATGCATGGAATTTGTTTACCATCAGTCAATTGAAGCATAAGATTTAAAACAATGTTGGTCGTTCCCATGGAATATTTTTGACTTTAATGGTATTAGTCATGATATGAATCTCAAGGTATGAACGAGGAGAGATGAGAGACTTATATGCTTCCCAAATTTCTTCAAAAGGTAATGTTATACCTGACTGTTTCCAAATGAGTTCAATATCATAACGTGAGAAACCTTGAAAGATAACGAAGTCAGTTATGAGACGTTTTATGTTTAAAGCTAAAAACCTCCATGTTTGCATAAGTATTGCTACAGTTAAATGGTAATGTCTGACTTTAGTTATGATGTTAGCTAATGGTGAGTCAGGCTTTGAAACTAAACCTTTTCCGGCGAAGTCGTCACAAACGAGCAGAGTGTTTGAAGGATATTTTTTGAAGGGGTATTTTGAAAGTTTTGATAGAATGTAGTTTGTCAGTCGTTTCATATCGTAAACTCCTGAGTACTGACGTAAGTGGTGTTTGTCAATAATTCTTTCCATCTCCTCAGAGGTCTTTTGCATTCCTGACTGTATAAATTCAACGATGGCATAATATTTTCTCTTACGTCGAATGTAACGTTGAAGAAATTCAATGAGCTCACTGTCTGGAACTTTAACGACAGAGGCTTGAACTTTTGACATGAATGTTTTCGCTGTTGAGTCCATAGAGTCTGAAGTTGCTGATATAATGATTTGGTCATAGTAAGAGTCATTTCCTAAACGCTCTGTTATGAGTATATGACGAATAAGATTAAATGTCTTACCTGACCCCATCTTTCCACAATAGAAATAAACACCATTTGAACAGAACTCATAGTCCTTACTGAAAGGAAGAATGAGAGAAGAGTTAAGTTTGTCTGTGGTTTCGTTCATGTCTTCATCTACGTCATGTATTAAATGCTTCATTTTAATCTTATTAAAAATGCAAGTCAGAAATATTCAGAACATAGCACCGAGTCTAACTGACAAGAGTATAAAGATATACTATGAACACGTTATGATGAAACCTACCAAAATTCAAGAAAGTCAGTATACTTATGAATATCCAAGACACTGGGTAGAGTATATAGGAGGTGAGAAAGCTATTGAAATCAGACAGGTTCGAAGTATTCCAGCAGGAAGGACAATATTATTGAAGAACTTTAATGTTTTGAGATATAATGATGAAACAAAGAAGCAAGATAGTTTCCCTGTTGCTGTGTATGTGAACTTAGACACAGGAGATGACATGAAAGTTTTTAATACAAAACTTCAAACGGTATTGAAAGAACAACTTATAGCAGAAGGGCACCCATTACCATCAGAAGTTAGCATAGCATATAATTTTGAAACAAATGCAATAGATTTTAAAGTCGTCTCTGCAAAGAAGTCAGGATTTACATTTAATGAAGCAGATGTATATTCGAATGAAAACTTCAAAGCTATTGCATGGTTAGATAATGACGATTGTTTTAAGAAAATATTTAAATACAGTGACTCAACGATGTCAATAGATGACCTTCGTGGAATGTTACCATCGACGTTTACAGTTGAAGGTTCAGCAGGATTGCTTACAAGATTGTCAATTGGTGGTATTTGGTCTCGTGAGAACATTGTTATAAAATCCAGTATAAGTGAATTTGCTGAAGAATCTATATTATGTCTTTTAAACTACATGTATTCGCCGCCGAAGCATTATAGTATAACAAACTTTGTCAGTAAGTTTAACATAAGACTTGTCGAACCTTCTTCAATGAAAGATGTTGTGCTACCTAAAGACGGAAAGGATGGACTCATTATTGAGATGATTTTAATAGCATATTAAATGAGTTTGTTCTTGAAGGTCATTCATGATGAAATAACTGTTGTAGAAGATGTTAGCAATTGTTCAGACATTTTGAAACGTATAGATGAAATAAGAAAGAAGTTTATGAATGAGAACGTTTATGTTTCATTGACTTTCTCCAGTAACGAGAACTTTTATGAGATAATGTTGAAGAGAGATGGTTTTAATATGGTGTAAATGGTAGCTTGGGCAGCTTTAGGCGCAATGGGAACAAAAGCATTAGCATTTGGAGCAAAAGCACTTGGAGCTTATGACGCAGTAAATAAAATGAGTGGAGGAAGAGTTTCGAAGACATTAGATGCAAATAAAGGAAAGATTGGAGGCTGGGTTGCAAAGAAGTTAAGATTAAATAAAATAGGGCTCATAAATAAAGCATCCAATTTGGTTGCGACTGAGTCAGAAAATTCTTTAGGAAAGGACGATGAGTTTGCAAAACACGCAAAAGACTTTAATGACCAGATGAAAGGTGAAACAATGCATTTAAATAGAGTCGATGGAACTAAAGAAAATGTTTCTTCTCCACAACTTCCACCAGCAGTTCTTCCGTATGGTCCCTATGGAATGTATGGAAACCCTTATGAACGACTATTTGACCCATTGACTGGTGGAAGTAATTGGTATCATTACGGCCGAAGAAGAAAGACAGTCAAGTTGGAGACGGCCGTAAAGAAAGCAACTAAAAAGAAACCAAGGAAGAGAGTTATAAAGCAATGAATTCAAGAGAAAGCTAAAGCAATCAGAGTCGCAAAGCGGCTAAGGTAGAAATGAGGTTAGAAATCGGGTTAGATCTAACCTTCTACCCTAAATTTATTTTTGCGCTATGTTTTCATACGCGTGAAGGTAGTGATATCATTTATTTTTAAGTTTATTTTTTAAAATTATTTTTATATAAATGACAGAACAAAAATAAAGCATATCTACTCAACAGGAATGAGACCCTTACTGACTATGTATTCGTTTAATGCTTGATGAAAACAATGGTACATATTATCGTATGGGTATACACAGCGTCTGTTTCCATCGTCGTCGTATATGTAGAGCTCAAATCCAGTCCAACCTTCTTTTGTACAATATGTAGCTTTATTTAAGTATGCATTTATGTAGATAAGGCAATTTTCTTCATCGCTCCAGAAATAATTTTTGTTCTTTGTTGAAATAGTTTTCGTTCCTCTGCGACCATAAGGAATGTATGCAATGAACTTTGCGTCATAAGGGATTGTAATATATTCAGGGTTTCTTTCATCGTCAATGGGTCTGTCTTTGTTAAAATGCATGTTTCTCAGTTTTACTTGGGTTTTAAACAGCTCACGGAAACGTTCTGGGAAAGAGTCATAGTAAATGTAGTCAGACATGTCTTTACAATGAAATAAAAAAGTTGGAAAATAAATAAAATAAGGTTATTTTTATTTAGTGAGGATGGTAGTGAATTCGTTAGTGAATTCGTTAGTGAAGTCGTTTATGTATCAGACGGTTTTGTAAATATTTAAGGTTAAGTTGGTGTTATGGTTGTGTTGTAAAATATACGTTACTGGTATCGTAAAGTGTTAAAACCGCTAAGTGGTGTACGGAGGCGCGCAGTGCCGCCGTACCCAAGTTAGGGATACTAACTCATAATCATTATTTTTTTTTCATGAAACAATTAACATTTCATTTACTCAATAAAAATTCAATCCAAATTTCAAATACCTTTCACTTAGTAATAGTCTTTTTTGATGCAAATATTAATAGGGAGTATGGCCGTTCTTTGGCTCAAAGGTGCTAAACGATGCAAAATTTTATCATCACATAATTTTTCTTTTGACTTAATCTATCTCAAATGCAGTTCATGACGTCCAGATCGTGTAGCTTATGGTGGAACTCAATTAGGTTCGGGTGCAGAAATGAGTCATGAATATCGAAAGGCAGCATCTTTTGGATTTGGAGGGTCTAATCATTGCGATGGCTGCAGCCCTTATAATCCACGAGGTGGTGCAGGTTGGTATGGAGGAGCTGCTTCTGGTAACGATGGATTAAGTGCTGCAGGAGGTTCAGGATATGTTTTTGCTATTAACTCTTTTGTTGTTGATAGTTATAATTATAAAAGAGAATATTATCTAAGAAAACCATCAATGAAAAGTGGAGTTAAATATGGAAATGGTGAAATCAGAATAACACTTCTCGACTATGCAAAGTCGAGAATATAAAAATTCAAGGCTGTGGCTCCCAAGGCATCACTTTTGCTCAAATTGCTTCATTCATTACACTACCTACTGTTTCATAATCATTATTTTTTTCATGAAACAATTAACATTTCATTTACTTAGTAAAAGCATCACACTATTAAGGATACATATCTTTTTTGATGAGACCTTTTTCTAATGCAAATATATACTTTGACTGTGGCCTATATCTCGCTCATTGACGCTAAATGATGCGCAAATTATTAATTCATCTGTAGATACATTGGCTAAATCATAAATTTAACATACTTGTTTTATAAGTCATTCCTATCTTTTTACTCCTGCTTGACCTCTCCTTGCATAATTATTAAAATTGCCATTCAAATACAATCTAACAGATAATACCAAAGGAGAAAATAAAGTATATAATTACAAAAATTACGATTATACGTTTGAATATCCATGTTCATTAACATATGATTGTTCTCCGTATGAAGTTAATTTTCCTCCAGGAAGATATCTTTTGGAAGCCTGGGGGCGCAAGGTGGGTCGTATCTTAATAACAACGGTGGTCTAGGTGGGTATTCAAAAGGTATTCTTTTCCTAGAAAAAGAAACAAAAGGATTTTTATATATCGGGGAAAAGGAATGGCAACTACAACGAGAGGAATTCAACGAGGAGGATTCAATGGAGGTGGTGATGGAGCTTATTATGACTCAAGAAATTTTTATGGTGCAGGAGGTGGTGGAGCCAGTGATATTCGCCTCGAAAATGACTCACCTTACCACCGCATTATAGTTGCGGGCGGTGGAGGGGGGTCAGGATATGGATATACAGCTACTTCTAGTTCTCCTTATGCTCACAATGCAGGAGGATCAGGTGGTGGAGAAACAGGTGGAGATGGAACACAAAATCATTCATATCGAGATTATGCAGCTTATGGCGGAACTCAATTAGGTATAGGTGCAGCAAAAAATTATGATTTTCGAAAGGCAGCATCTTTTGGATTCGGAGGAAAGAATCGTTGCTCTGGCTGTGACCCTTATAATTCAGGAGGTGGTGCAGGATGGTATGGGGGAGATGCTTCGGGATACTATGGTTTTGGCGCTGCAGGAGGTTCAGGATATGTTTTTTCTATTTACTCTTTTGTTGTTGATGGTTATAATTATAAAAGAGAATATTATCTAAGAAAACCATCAATGAAAAGTGGAGTTAAATATGGAGATGGCGCAATCAGAATAACACTTCTAGACTATGCAGAAGTCGAGAATATAAAAATTCAAGGCTGTGGCTCCCAAGGCATCACTTTTGCTCAAATTGCTTCATTCATTACACTACCTACTGTTTCATAATCATTATTTTTTTTCATGAAACAATTAAAACCAATATTTCTAATTTCAGATACAAATATATGCTTCGACTATGACTTATCCCCCGCTCATTGATGCTAAATGATGCAAACTTATATCATCGAAGGAAAATTATTTCCTCTGCAAATATTTTGGCCGAATCCATCTTATTTATAGTCAACAGCATCAACAATTAAGAAATTACTCTTCAAGAAAGCACAATAGAAACAAAGAACAATTAAATATGAAATGATGATATAGAGTCATTCATGAAAATCAGAAATTATTGTATCAATGTAACTGACTCAATGAGTTCACCAACCAAAATTCCGAATTAAATTCCGACAATTTATCTTGTTAAACAGTTATATCAGATCTTTGACTTGTTTAATGATTAAAACACTTGTTTTATAAGCAATTCCTATCTTTTTACTTCTGTTTGGCCTGTACGAATCTAACAATTAAAATTGCCATTCAATTACAAATTAATAAATCCAGCTAAAGGAAAAAATAAAGTACATAATTACAAAAATTATGAATATGCCTTTTCTATTGATTCTTTCGTTCCTGATGGCTATAATTATAAGGAAGAGTATTTTCTGAGGAAACCATCAATGAAAAGTGGAGTTAAATATGGAAATGGTGCAATCAGAATAACACTTCTAGACTATGCAGAAGTCGAGAATATTAAAATCGAAGGTTGTGGTTCTCAAGGCATCACTTTTGCTCAAATTGCTTCATTCATCACATTACCCACTGTTTCATAATCCTTATTTTTGTCATGAAATTAACTGTTAAGGGTCCACTGTAAGGCCAAATAAGGTCTATCGTCGTCCCAAAAATATTGCTCGAGATGGTGTTTTACTAAGGCCCAAAACTTAAAAAAACACAAAAAATTAACTTTACTCTTTTGAGATCCTTATCAGATATGCATCAATTTGATGCAGTATCGCAGTTCAAATCTGATTTTTTAATGTAGATGTACTCTAACATCCTTTAAAAAATGCAAAATGATATTAATTAAGCTTTTCATTTCTGTATCATACACGAAACAAAATCGTTCATTATACTAAAATTTATCAAAGTTTGATTAATGAAAAAATACCCTATAATTTTATGAATATGGCACTTTTCGTCGATTTTCAAAGAATTAAATCGCTTCTATCTCAATAACTAATAAACATATAAGATTTTTGAAAGTATATATATAGTGTACTACATCTCAAGATATTATTAATATGTATTAGAAAGAATAATATATTGGATTTTGATATCACAAAATGACTTTTCAATTTATTGTAGTTCCTCACAGAGTTGAGATTCTACAAAATTCTTTGCAGATAATTTATGAAGGGATGATAGACTAACGAACTATAGATACATGAATTGAAAATAAAAAAATCGATTAAATATGAACCTTCATAAACCGTTTAAGAAACTTAAAAACTATTCTTTATTGTTTATTTTGGACGAAGTTTAATATGATTGTGGTTTTATTGGACAATAATCGAGTAACGGAAAAATATAACATTTATCTATAAAGTGAAAATTTAGAGGTATATTTCGTAAGATATTTCCTCTCTGATTACAAGAACTATTGTGAGCTATCAATCTAATGAAAGAGAGCAGATTTGGCCGTAATGAAAATGCAATACTTCGAAAATCAATGCAAAAAAGATTAATTTGTTAGAAACAATCGACTATGACACTGAATTCTAAGAGCAAACGTTTACATTAGGATATTTTGATCATTTCCAAATATTGCAAAATTGCATTTAAACAAGTTAAGGAGAATACTATATTAACCGTGTTGTAAGGAAATATAACAATTTTAAAGATTTTGCGACAGAATTTGAAAAAATATGAAAATCAGATATATAAAAATTGAATAAAATAACATTATGATGGAATATAAGTAGATGAGCTATTAATGCTGCTATGATTTAAAATTGAGTAGTAATGAAATAGAATTTCGATTAAAAAAATTAATGTAATCGTATGAAAGCTTTGATCCAAATAATTAATATTCGCAAATATTTTAACCTACTAATAAAATTCTGATTATATTAAGATATTTTAAAAATGAGATTCCAAATTGAATGGTGATGGAGATGAAAATTTTTAAAAATATAAATAAGAGGATAAATTGATTGAGATATTAACTAGTAAATATTTGAAAAAGTAAATTATTTGAAATCCTTTAAAAATGTTACGGAAAAAGCTATATAAATAAAATGACTGGTGTGGTTGGTTAGCTTAATGTGTAATATCAAAAAGAATTAATGGGTGTTGTGAAGTGAGCAACTTTGAGAAGAATCATTTGTGATTCTTGTCAAAGTTGAATCAAAGACAACAATTGATAGACAATTGTTGTCTTTGTGTACAACATTCACTTGAATTATAAACAATAACAAGTGTTTGTTGTTCACTGAGCAACTTTGAGAAGAATCATTTGTGATTCTTGTCAAAGTTGAATCAAAGACAACAATTGATAGACAATTGTTGTCTTTGTGTACAACATTCACTTGAATTATAAACAATAACAAGTGTTTGTTGTTCACTGAGCAACTTTGAGAAGAATCATTTGTGATTCTTGTCAAAGTTGAATCAAAGACAACAATTGATAGACAATTGTTGTCTTTGTGTACAACATTCACTTGAATTATAAACAATAACAAGTGTTTGTTGTTCACTGAGCAACTTTGAGAAGAATCATTTGTGATTCTTGTCAAAGTTGAATCAAAGACAACAATTGATAGACAATTGTTGTCCTTGTGTACAACATTCACTTGAATTATAAACAATAACAAGTGTTTGTTGTTCACTGAGCAACTTTGAGAAGAATCATTTTGTGATTCTTGTCAAAGTTGAATCAAAGACAACAATTGATAGACAATTGTTGTCCTTGTGTACAACATTCACTTGAATTATAAACAATAACAAGTGTTTGTTGTTCACTGAGCAACTTTGAGAAGAATCATTTGTGATTCTTGTCAAAGTTGAATCAAAGACAACAGTTGATAGACAATTGTTGTCTTTGTGTACAACATTCACTTGAATTATAAACAATAACAAGTGTTTGTTGTTCACTGAGCAACTTTGAGAAGAATCATTTGTGATTCTTGTCAAAGTTGAATCAAAGACAACAATTGATAGACAATTGTTGTCCTTGTGTACAACATTCACTTGAATTATAAACAATAACAAGTGTTTGTTGTTCACTGAGCAACTTTGAGAAGAATCATTTGTGATTCTTGTCAAAGTTGAATCAAAGACAACAATTGATAGACAATTGTTGTCTTTGTGTACAACATTCACTTGAATTATAAACAATAACAAGTGTTTGTTGTTCACTGAGCAACTTTGAGAAGAATCATTTGTGATTCTTGTCAAAGTTGAATCAAAGACAACAATTGATAGACAATTGTTGTCCTTGTGTACAACATTCACTTGAATTATAAACAATAACAAGTGTTTGTTGTTCACTGAGCAACTTTGAGAAGAATCATTTGTGATTCTTGTCAAAGTTGAATCAAAGACAACAATTGATAGACAATTGTTGTCCTTGTGTACAACATTCACTTGAATTATAAACAATAACAAGTGTTTGTTGTTCACTGAGCAACTTTGAGAAGAATCATTTGTGATTCTTGTCAAAGTTGAATCAAAGACAACAATTGATAGACAATTGTTGTCCTTGTGTACAACATTCACTTGAATTATAAACAATAACAAGTGTTTGTTGTTCACTGAGCAACTTTGAGAAGAATCATTTGTGATTCTTGTCAAAGTTGAATCAAAGACAACAATTGATAGACAATTGTTGTCCTTGTGTACAACATTCACTTGAATTATAAACAATAACAAGTGTTTGTTGTTCACTGAGCAACTTTGAGAAGAATCATTTGTGATTCTTGTCAAAGTTGAATCAAAGACAACAATTGATAGACAATTGTTGTCCTTGTGTACAACATTCACTTGAATTATAAACAATAACAAGTGTTTGTTGTTCACTGAGCAACTTTGAGAAGAATCATTTGTGATTCTTGTCAAAGTTGAATCAAAGACAACAATTGATAGACAATTGTTGTCCTTGTGTACAACATTCACTTGAATTATAAACAATAACAAGTGTTTGTTGTTCACTGAGCAACTTTGAGAAGAATCATTTGTGATTCTTGTCAAAGTTGAATCAAAGACAACAATTGATAGACAATTGTTGTCCTTGTGTACAACATTCACTTGAATTATAAACAATAACAAGTGTTTGTTGTTCACTGAGCAACTTTGAGAAGAATCATTTGTGATTCTTGTCAAAGTTGAATCAAAGACAACAATTGATAGACAATTGTTGTCTTTGTGTACAACATTCACTTGAATTATAAACAATAACAAGTGTTTGTTGTTCACTGAGCAACTTTGAGAAGAATCATTTGTGATTCTTGTCAAAGTTGAATCAAAGACAACAATTGATAGACAATTGTTGTCCTTGTGTACAACATTCACTTGAATTATAAACAATAACAAGTGTTTGTTGTTCACTGAGCAACTTTGAGAAGAATCATTTGTGATTCTTGTCAAAGTTGAATCAAAGACAACAATTGATAGACAATTGTTGTCCTTGTGTACAACATTCACTTGAATTATAAACAATAACAAGTGTTTGTTGTTCACTGAGCAACTTTGAGAAGAATCATTTGTGATTCTTGTCAAAGTTGAATCAAAGACAACAATTGATAGACAATTGTTGTCCTTGTGTACAACATTCACTTGAATTATAAACAATAACAAGTGTTTGTTGTTCACTGAGCAACTTTGAGAAGAATCATTTGTGATTCTTGTCAAAGTTGAATCAAAGACAACAATTGATAGACAATTGTTGTCCTTGTGTACAACATTCACTTGAATTATAAACAATAACAAGTGTTTGTTGTTCACTGAGCAACTTTGAGAAGAATCATTTGTGATTCTTGTCAAAGTTGAATCAAAGACAACAATTGATA